TTTATTTAATTTGTTTATATGTGCTGCTGAGGATCAAACCCAATACTTCATACACGCTGGGCAAGTGCTCTACCACTGAGCTACAGCCCCAGTCCACCATGTCTGGATTTGATTCCCAGCACCAAAAGGAAGGGGGGAAGAGTAGGAGCTTGAAGCCAACACAGACACACCCTGGTTCAAAAACAAAGAAACAAAAATGAAACATAACAACAATAAAAGCAAGATAAAGAGTATGGTGATAAGATGAGGCTGGGATTGTGGCTCAGAGGTAGAGCACTGGGTTTGATCCTTAGCACCACATAAAAATAAGCAAAATAAAGATATTGTGTCCATCTACAACTAAAAAAAAAAAATATTTTTAAAAAGAAAATGGTAATAAGAAACTAAAAAAAAAAATAGCATAAGAGACAATTCAGGAAAAATTCTATAAGATGGAAAGTACCACAACCACATATACTATTTGTATGCATTGGCAAATAAGAGCTTATATTAAACTGAAATTATTGTGGTTCTGATATGTCTCAGAATAGGAAAAATGCCAAGCCAACTGAAAAAACCAAAACCATGATTAAAAAGCAAAAGCATTATAACCTCTTTACTACTGCTTCTTAGGCAAAAAGCCATCTGTTCACCTTTTTTTTTTTTTTTAATTTTGGACATTGCTTGAGAAAGGTGCTGGAAGGAAGGAAGGAAGGAAGGAAGGAAGGAAGGAAGGAAGGAAGGGAGAGAGGAAGGAAGGAAGGGAGGGAGGAAGGGGTCTCTTGGAAGAAGACTCAGTCCAAAAGGTGAGACTAACAATAGGACAGCAGGTGTTTTTTCCTCCATATAGAAATAGCAGGGCTACTCCTTTTTTTTTTTCATTCACAAAATTGAATTTTTTTTTCAGATTATATTAGTTTTTTAAAATATTAAAACATTAAATATATTCACTATTTTATATTTTTTAAAATATACGACAGCAGTAGGGCACAATTTTTCATATCTCTGTATATAAAATATGTTCACACCAATTTATGCCTTTATATATGTATTTTGTTGTTGTTGATTTTTTGCATTATAATTCTTATTACACATATATACCACAATTTTTTGTATCTCTGTTTGTATATAAAGTATGTTGACACCCAATTCAAGTCTTCATACGTGTACTTTGTATAATGATGTCCAATACATTCCACCATCCTTGGGTATCATACTCTCAGGAGGAGARCATCGGGAACAGCAGAGATGAATACATACTGAAACAGTAGTGTTCCCACTGTCAATGAACTACTATTCTGGTTTTATAACTTAACCATTGTGAATGTAACTAGTGTGACTGTGTGCCAAAGGACTTGGTTACATCCAGGCTTGCTGACAAAAGCTCTCAGATCTGTAAAGGGAAACTAGACTACTGACCCCAGAGATCCTACCTGGTATAACCTTTCTCCTTCAACCTCAACACCCATCATTCATTTAGATCAATAAGGGGAAGAAACAACTGTGGACTCAATGACTTCAGGGCCACAGCTATTACATTCCAACACTAAATATGTCCAGCTGTTGTCCAGGTTTGTAAGAATAAAATCATACAATATCTACAAGTAGGCACAGTGCCACTTTGGTGAAAACGGCCACCTGATTTAGAATTCTGATCACTCTCACATTGTCTGGGTGGGGAATGCTGAATTTGAACGTAACCATGCCAACTCACATTGCATTTGTTTTACCTCTGTGTAAAGCTACTAGCGTTTTAACTGAGACTACAAAAATAAGACTGCTTATCAAGACAGGAAGGCCCAGAGAGACAAGATGAGAGCCAAAGTTCAGTGTCTGATGTCCTAAATGCGATTAAAATTGTTCCTATCAAGACTTTAAGGGTCACAAAAACTAAAACACCTTTAAGTTTCCCAATTTCTTTGGGAATTGAACAATAACTCAAAGAATCCATCTTCCCTAGAATCTAGCAGTATGCCTTACTCTTCTCTGGGAGCAAAGTTTTAAATGGTAATGTCAAAATAAACAAGGAGGAAATAAAGGAGATTAGATGGGATGGGGGAGAGGATTTCCATCATAGGACCTTATCCAATAAAATAACGAAGCTCAGGCAAGCCTCAAACTAACAACAGCTTGAGTTGATTCTCAATTTTTCAAGARGTGAAATCACCCTAGAGATAATCACTGAAGTTACATAATGTCACTCTTGGAACTGACTGAGCCACAGAGGACAACCAGGAGGATCAGAATGGTTGTCTGAGGTCCATTTGTTTGGCCAAAATTGAACTAACCTCCCCCCCCCACACAAAGTGATATCACAGAATGGCAAGGCTAAAAGTTTTTAATTAGACTTCTTCAAATATCAATTTAGTTCACTTATGATCTCCTTTTTAAAAAAGATAAATAAAGACAGATGGGCAACCCTACCCAAAGGGACTAGGTAGTACTTCAATCCATTTCCCACCAGGTGATATGGTGTTCCCGACCTCACATGCATCTGTGCTTGAGTACACCATAGCAAGTCAGAAAGTCTTTACATTATATCATCAACTAAGGTGTCCACATGCCCTGAAAATAAAAGTACTCTAGTGAAACTAGCAAAAATGAAAGAAAAATAAACTCAATGAGAAAGTATTTTAATAGGAAGTGCCGAGACAACTGGATATCTACATACAAAAGAATGAAATTGAACCCTATCTCACCCCATACATAAAAACTAACTCAGGGCTGGGGATGTAGCTCAGCGGTAGAGAGCTTGTCTAACATGCACAAAACCTTAGGTTTGATTCCTAGCACCAAAAAGGGAAAAAAATTAACTCAAAGTGAACACAAAGCATAAGAACTAAAGCTACAAAACACTTAGAAGAAAACAAAGGGACAAGTCTTTGGAAGCTTGGTTTAGCTAACAGTTTCCTAGATATGCCAACAAAAGTATAAGTAACCAAAAAAAAAAAAAATACAGATAATACTTTGATGCTGAAAATGATACTGTCAAGAAAATAA